AGTCAAATATTATAATGAAATGTACAAGGACCTGGAGTTATAAAACCCAAAGGGAAGAACATGTTCAGCATTTCTTAAGCTGAAAGAACTGAAGAAAAAAATTCAAGCCTCTATTTGAAATATTAAAAGGTCTTATGGACAAAATATTGAATGATGCAAAAAGCATCCAAAGAAGGAATACACAGAGTCATTGTACAAAAAGAAATGTTGGATGTTCAGTCACTTCAAGAAGTAGCGTATGATCAAGTACTAATGGTACTGAAGGAAGAAGTCCAAGCTGCACTGAAGATATTGGTGAAAAATAATGGTCCCGGAATTGACAGAATGCAAATTGAAAATCTTTCAACAAACAAAAAAAGCACTAAAGTCAGTCACTCATCTATGCTGAGAAATTTGGGAAAAGATCCATATTTGGGCCCAATCCAAAGAAATATGACACAACGAAATGCAGAAATCATTGAGCAATATCATTAATACTGCATGCAAGTAAAATTTTGCTTAAGATAATTCAAAAACAGCTGTAACAGTGCATTAACAGGGAGTGCCAGAAGTTCAAGCCAGATTCAGACGAGGACCTGAAATGAAGGATATCATTGCTGACGTTCTATGCATCTTTGCTGAATGCATTGTTGACTATGCAAATGCTTTCGACTGTATGGATCATAACAAGCTATGAATAACATTGTGAAGAATGGGTTTCCTGAACACTTAATTGTCCTCATGGGGAACCTGTACATAGACCAAATGAGATGATGGAATATGATAGCTCTGTAGGATAAGCACAAACTGATTGTTCAAACCCATTGACTCAGAGGCACTTAAAAACAATGAGTATCTTTTCATGTGATTATTGGCCATTTGTTTATCTTCTTTGGAGAAATGTCTATTCATGTCTGTTGCCCATTGATTGAGCTGGCTTTCTTTTTGATGTTAAGCTGTAGGAATTCTGTATACTAGATACTAAACTCTGATCAGATATATGGTTTCCAAATATTTTCTTCCATTTTGTAGGTTGCCTCTTCACTTTCTTGATTAAAATCCTTTTATATATACAATTTTTAATTTTGATGAAATCCATTTTGTCCTTTGTAATGCACAGTTTTTGGTATCATATCTAAGAAATCATTGTTGAAAGCTAGAATCCGAAGCATTGATGATGTATTTTAAGAAAGAGTTTTAAGATTTTCTTTTTTTTGTTTTATTTTGAGTTTTTGGGTGTGTGGGTGGCTAGGAGTAAGAAACTGGGGTGAGACATAATATTATGTCTAGGTCTAGGCTAAGCCTAGAACTTCATTTAATGTTAGGTTTATGGTTAGGATTAGGACTAGGGTTAATGTTAGGATTAAGGAGTAGGGCTTGGGCTAGGAGTAAGTCTTGGTCTAGTTTTAGAATTGCAGTTAGGTATATTTTTACTTATTTTAATGATTTTTTTCTTTGAACTCTACTTGATTTCCTCTTTATTTGTGGCACTGTGGGATAAAGCACTGGACTACAAGGTTGGTTTGAACTATAGGGTCGGTGGTTCAAACTTACCAGCCAGTCCTTGGAGACTGTATATATGGTCTCTCTGAGTTAGAATGAGCTCAACAGCACCTAACAACAACAACAGTTGTTTTGTAGGATGGTTTATGTTATTGTTGATGTTGCAAACTGGTATCTCTGGTTCCCTATAACAACAACAGAGGTTTGTTTTACTTTGGATACTTCTGTATCTGGGTTAAGTGCTGGGTGCTATCTCATGTATGTTAACCTCAGGTTGGTATCTGCTCTTGTTGGTGTTATTTCTAACATTTAGGTTGTTCATCTATTTTGATAGATCAACATATGGTGTGAGGGCCAACTTCATTCTTTTTCAGAAATCCAGTTATTTCAGTACCATTTATTAAAGTAACTATTCTTTAATTTAATGGATTTAGCAATCTTGCTTTAAATTAATTGATCGTAGATATATGGATTTATTCTCAGTTCTATCCCATTGGTCAATATGTCTGTCATCATACCACTACTGTTTTTGTTGTTAAGTGCTGTGAAGTTGTTTTCCACGCATAGCATTTCCAAGGAGTGATTGGTGTGTTTGAACTGCTGACCTTGTGGTTAGCCATCTAGTCTATATCCCACAGCACCACACCAGGACTCCATTACCAATTTTGTTGTTAAGTGCCGTTGAGTGGATTTCGACTTTTAGCGACCCTGTATAAGATTTCCGAGGACCGACTGTTGAGTTTGAACCACCGACCTTGCAGTTAGCAGTTCAGTGCTTATCCTACAGTTCCACATCAGGATTCCCCATACCAGTACTACAATATTTTTATTACCGCAGCTTTATAATACCTTTTTGGAATCAGTATAGTGAATCTTACTTTGTTCTTCTTTTTAAAGATTGATTAGACTATTCAGAGTCCAAATAACTTTTGAAGTCTGTATATGAATGGTTCTATGGGTTAATGTGCTGACTGCAAGGTCCATTCGAACCATAAGGTCGGTGGTTCAAACTCACCACACACTCCTTGGACACCCTATACAGGGTTGCTATTAGTTGGAACTGACTCGATGGCACATAACAACAACATAAATGGAATTGTTTCCTTATTTTTCTTTTCACATTGCTTACAGCTGATTTTTGTATTGCCTTGTACCCTGTCACCTTGCTGAATTCATTTACAAGCATTAGTAGCTTTCTTGTGGATTCTTTGGGGTTTTCTATATTTAGGATCATTTTGTTGTTGTCATGTACCGTTGAGTTAATTCTGACCCATAGCAACCCTGTATAGGGTTTCCAAGGAGCAACTGGTGAGCTTGAACCACCGACCTTGCATTTCAAACGACTTTGCAGACTGACGCATTAGCGCACAGCGCTACACCAGGATTCCGTTTAGGATCATAATCATCTGCAAAAAGGGAAAATTTTACTGTTTTCTGGTTTGGATACCTTGTATTTCTTTTTCTTGAGTAATTGCTCTGACTAGGACTTCCAGTGCAATATTGAGTACAAGTTCGTGAGCAGCACCTTTTCTAAAGTTGAATGAACCACCCACCCTTGCATTCCTGGGATAAATCCCACTTGATAATAGCGTATAATCCTTTCAGTATGCTATTGGATTCAGTTTGTTAGTATTTTGTTAAGATTTTTGCATCTGTGTTCATAAGGGATGTTGGTTGGTGGTTTTCTTTTCTTACAGTGATCCTCTGTCCTTACAATTGTTCTGTTTGAGCCCATTGTTACTCCCAGTGTGTCAGTTCATCTCCTTTGGGGGTCCTCTTTTTCACGGACTTTTTGCTTTCTTTGCTGTCAGGTTAATGCTTACCTCATAGAATGAGTTACAAGTGTTCATTCCTTTTCTGTTTTATGAAAGTTTGTTTGCTCATAGACTTTTATTTATACTATTTTAACCCTAAAACTAAACTTTATTTTAGGATTAAAAGAAAACATTTGAAACACTTCTGAATGTTTATTGGCTCATGTGACCTTTTAGTAGGTGTGAATGAGAAACTTGGAAAAGGTCTGATTTGTTTAGTACTGGTTGTTTCCCTTACCAAATATATGATTTTAGAAGTCAGGTGTTCTCTCAGCCCCTGTCTCCTACCCTAAAAAACAGGGCATGCAGTTTCTCTTTTGCCTCATCTTACAAAGGAGTCCTGGTGTGGCGCTGTGGGTTCATGTGCTGGACTGCAAACTTGGTTCAGAAGGTGGTTCAAGCTCCCCAACCACTCCTGGGAAACCGTACACAGGGTCAATATGGGTAGGAGTCCACTTGATGGCCTTGACACTTAAGCAACAATAACAAAAGATTGTTATAAAGACTACGTGGGGTGTTCTTCTGAAATGAGTAAGATTTTAGAGAGGGAATAAAGTTTCAAATCGCCAAGAGATTAAGGTGAATTCATATCAAACTTCTAAGTAAAAATGTATATATTGACTTTCACCTTTACCGATGCTTTAAATAGTATTTATATGCTTCCTTATTTAACTTAAAAAGATTTAATGGTGGTATGTTTGGATGAATATTAAAATGTAAGTTTTACTTCCCTTTCAAGTACCATAGATTAGCAAGCATTTGTAGATTGTTGAAAGTCCTTGGCCATTGATGATATCTTTATATTCTGGAAAGAGTAACAAACGACCCAATGGAGGAACATATGGTCAGAGACACAACATATCTTAAGAAAATTCAAACAGAAATGCTAATACATGCTTATAGGAGTTGCACCTATAGTCACTGACTCAGTTAATGTTCTTATTTCCAGGAATCCACGAATTGGTCACCTCCCCTCTTCTAAAAAAAAAAGCCAAGAAAATAAGCCCATGGCTGGAATGACTGTAGATTTTATTATGAGATTAAAGGATGTTATTGTTAGTTGCCACTGAGTCAGTTGTGACTCATGATGGACCCGTATGTGCAGAAGAGAATTGCTCCATAGGGTTTTCCAGGCTGTGACCTTTTAGTGGATCACCAGGCCTGTGTTCTGAAGTACTTCTGGGTAGCTTCAACTCTCCTAGTTGAATGCTTAGCCATTAGTGCTACCCACAGACTGTTAGTATGTATCTTAAAAGTAACAAAGATATTTGGTTTCATGATGCATTTGTGGGGTGGTTTTTTTTCTTTTCCATTATTCCACAAACTTTGTTTTTTATTTTATTTTCTTTTTAAACTTTTTATTGTCACTTGAGTGAAGTGTACAGAACATGCCATCAGCCCCATTTCAATAAATCATACACTTGGTGTCATTGCAATGATTGCAATCCCTTCCATATGCCATCAGTTCACAGTATTTTTCTCTAGTCACTTTAGCTCTTGCCCTTCTCCCTGTGTCTTTCCTGCACCAGCCTCCCTCTTGTTGTATATTGTCTTCCCCATATCTCAAGTTAACATGCATCTACCTCTGCCCAGTGTATAATTTTCCCTTCTCTCCCATCCCTGGTAATCATCATAAAATGTTTTTGTTTTTTTTAATTGTTATTCTGTGAGTTGAACAGTATGTCCTCATCTTATGTGATGACTTAAGTACACTGCAAATTGAAATGATATCTCACTGTAGAGCAGACTGTTTTGTTTCTTTGCGTGCTTTTTTTTTTCAATTTAAATTTTCTAGTAAATTTTACAATCTAATTTCAAGCCAGTAATTAAAAAACCTGCATGTAGAACAAAATGAGCTCTACTACATAGAAATTAGTTGTATAATTATTTTAAGTAGCGCTCATTTATGAATAATTGACTTTGAATGGTTACTCAACAGCCAGCATCCCTGTTTCAAGCCATGGAGCTATATTCCTGATGGAATCATGCCAGTTTTCTGGAGGGTAGTGTATTGGACATCACAATTTTTAACATGGTAAGTGCCCGTGGAAGATAGTTTGTAAAATTCTGGCTATGGTTAAAAAAAAAATTTTTTTTTAAATATATATACATATATGATTTGTTTTTCAATAAAGCATCATATTTAAAAAATGTATCCCAAGTGTCATTTGTTACTGTTTTTAAGTACTTTCCTTTCTTCTAGCTCTGGTCACTCCCCTCTTAAAAAAATAAAAAGAATAAAAAGCAGCAAATGAAAGAAACATACAAATAAAAACAAGAAAAATAATTTTTTTCTTTGTCATTCTCTCCTTCTAGTTATTGACTTTTCTCTCTTTCCCTTTACAGTGCAGTCTTCTTCCAACCCCATTACCACATGAAACTGCTCTTGCTGAAGTCTTCATTATTCCCTGGTACTCTTTCTGCCTACTTCACCTGATTTTCTGAATTTCCATCATGGGTTCCACTTCTCTGGATCATGTCCTAAATGTCCCTTCTTTTTTTTAAAAAAAAAAAAAAAGTTTTATTGTGAATTATGTGAGTTTACATGGGAGAACATTCATCCTTTACATTCATCCTATCGTATTTATCGTTACATTGCCTTAGTTACAATCCCCGCCATGCATCATCAACCAACTAAATGGTACACCCCACAAGCCTGCCCCCTAGTCATCAAGCACACAGCCTCTCTCCCTCTCTGGGTCTAGCGTCCCAGCCGCTCCATCTCTCCACGTCATCATCTCTGCCTCCATCTCTGGGGTCACTGCTTCTCTTGGTAGGGTCCCACACTCCACTCTTCTCCCTTGATGGTCCCAGGGACCTCTACTTCTAGACTGCAGAGGCAACCACTCCTCTCTTTTTGCTTCAAAATGTCTGCCTTTACATTTCCAACCCTCACAGTCAGTCCTGATAATAATTATTCACTATTGTACCACATGAGTGCTATCTACATCTCCTTTCATCAGCCCCACCCAGACAGATTGGATACTACTCAATGGAAATTCTACCTTCCTCTGTGCCCGCTGCATCTAGGCTCCCTCCTGACACTTGTAAGCTAGTCCCTTCTTGCCTTTGTAGCACCCCCTCTCCCATTTTGGGTATCCAATGTCCAAGTTGCCCATCCCTGCCTACCCTGTGTATTGAGGGGGTGGGAATGATCCTTGCTGTAAAGATTTGTTCCCTCTTTGGAGCTACTGCATCCATAGGTGTAGGTCAAGTTCATCTAATTGTATCAGATTACTCCAAATGTCCCTTCCTTGATCATCTTATTACCTGACTCTCCCTACAGAGCTTTAATTATAATCATGGTCTCATTAACTAGTAATGCTTCCCTCATCTTTCGATCTACCTTGCTTATCTTGGTCTTTCTGGTGAGCACCAGACTTACACTTTATCCACTGCCTGCTGAGCATCTCTTAGATAGCCTGTAGGTGACTAAGCTCTAAAGCAAGTGAACATTGCACGGGAAAAAGCATACAGTAGTGTGGTGCCCACATACACGCATGCTCAGTAATCTCAGCTGAACCCTTCACATTGCCTGACTTCTTTGGTTTTCTAGTTTGCTTGCCCTCCTATTTTCCACAAGAAATGTTTCCAGTCACTTCCAACTTGTGCTAACTCCCTTTGTGGTTTTCTGTCTTATTCTCTAAAACCAATTACCTTTACTCTTCGTAGATGACTTCTACCTCACAGTGAAAGTAGAAGTCATCAGATGGCGATTGTTTTAGCTTCCCACCAACAACCCTATTTCCTGCACATTCTTTCCCTCCTAATAGAATCACTCCTGTAAAGCCACTCCCTCTTCCTGAAATATGGATCTATCCCAGAAGTTCTTGTTACTTATATCTTCCCATTTTAATTGTTGTTGTTAAGTGCCATCAAGTCGACTCCGACCCCAAACGACTCTATATAGGGTTTCTGAGGAGCAGCTGGTGAGTTTGAACCGCCAACCTTGCAGTTCAAACGGCTTTGCAGTCTGGCGCATTAACCCATAGCGCCACACCAGGACTACCCCATTTTAATTAGGTATGCATAATTCTCTCATCCTTAAAAAATAAATAAGAAAGAAAATGTCTCTCAAATCATATCTGCATCCACCTACCTAGGCTACTCATATCAGCCAAATTTCTTTTTCAGAGTTTTTATTTCTTCAGTTGAAGTGTAAGTTCTTCAAGAAAAAGAATAGGTTTGTGTTTAGTCTATTTTTTAAAGTGAACGTTCCCATACAACCACCACTCAGTCACTACCTCCCTGCAAAGGTAACTGGTATTCTGACTTCCAAAGCTATTGTTTTATTTGCCTCTTTTTCAACTTTGTACCATAGAGTTATACTCACACAGCATGTGCTTTTTGTCACCTGGCTTTTTATGCTCATGGTATATTTAGGAAATTCACCTTGTTATGTTGTATGTAACAGTATTCTATCCTTGTTCTTTTCTGTAAAATATTCATTTTTGGAATATAGCACATTTCTCCTACATTTTAATAAATTTTCTACATTCTGTGTCTACCATTTGTGCATTGTTTCCTCAGCCTAGTGTACCCTGGTTTCTAACCCTTCTTCTCTGCTCACACTTGCAGGTCCTTGACTAACTTGACTCCTTGAAAGAAGTAGGTTCTGTTTTCTGTCTCCACTTTCAGATACTTTCCTCTGTTTGTTTCTACTCCATAGCTCTTTGGTTTTCTTCCTTGGCTCTCTGTTGTTCTTTCATAATATCCCTTGACGACTCCTCCTTTACCTCGTTCTCAAAAGTTGATATTTCTCAATTCTTTCCTTTTCATTATAAATATTAGCCCTAGGAATCTGAGCTACTGGCATAATTTCAATATCATTGAAGTTGTGATGATGATTACACACTCTATTTCTAGTCCTCTCTACTCAGCTCTGAACAGGGATCACCAACTACTCCCTGCACAGTTCCTTATGGATGTCTCCTAGCTACTTCCAAGTGAAGCTGTTGACAATTGACCTTCTCCCCTCCTCTTCATTGTTCTATAGATATAGATCAAACTCTTCATAAAGACTTGGAAGGCCTTTTTTAGACTCATTGTTAACCACTCATATGATTGCAGTTGATATCCACATTTATTAGTGGTGTGGTGCTGTGGGTTAAAGCATTGGACCACAAGGTCAGTTTGAACTACAACATTGGAGGTTCATATCCACCAGCCACTCCTTGGAAACCCTATACAGGGTCACTAAGAGTCAGAATCAACTCCACAGCACTTAACAACAATATTTATTAGTGAAAAGAAATACATATTAAAATTGAGATTCCTGTGAATATACTACTTGAGATAATGCAAATATCAGTTGTTTTGTTATTTTAATCACATTTTTTTTTTTTTTTCCTAACCATCTAGGATTCTGTTACCCTTCATGCAGTCATATGCAAGATCGGGAGGGTTCTCCATCACTGGGAAGATCAAAACTGCACTGATTGAGAATGCAATCTATTATGGCACCTATTTGCTGATTTTTGGAGCATTTTTAATTTATGTAGCTGTAAATCCACATTTGCACTTAGAATGGTAAGAAAAGTAGTATTCTTAATATTGTATCTGTATGTACTTTTTTAATATTCATTTTTATCATTTATGTGGGTAGATTTTTTATGAAGAAACAGAACACGTTATGTTTTATAGATTCCCTAAAAAGGTATCTAAATAATCCATATTACTAAAAAACAGAAAATATAGAATGACATTTTAAATGTAATTTTTCCACAAACTTTTTTAAGCACCCTCATAAAGCTGTTAGACAAATAGCTAATACATTGCTTAATATTTTTGTTAAAAGTTTTTACTCATAATACTTTTTGGCATAGAATTTCAAATTTTTTATATAATAAAATAATTTTTTAGAAAATTGTTTTTCACAGTTGTTAAGTGTGGGTGAGTGGATTTTGACCCCTAGTGAGCCAGTATAGGGTTTGCAGGAGTAGAAAGTGTGGTTATTTTTCCCAGTTTGTGCTGACCGTAGCTTCAGGGCATGTTTGTCTTTAATGATGCATTAGGTTTTTGGACATTGGGATAAATGTGGTATCTGCATTATGCTCGTGACCGATAATGTGCATGAAGAGCTCAGTCTGAAAATACAGGACTGGAGTCGTAGTGACAGATCTCACTGCTGCAGTGTGAGATTTGAGTTTCTTTTCTTCATCATGAAGTAGAATAAACAGGTCACACTTCTCTTGGTTAGTGTTGAATAAGAGAGCACCTAATGAAAAATGTGTTCTCAGCAAAAGTATTTACAAAGGAGCTTCAAAAAGTTTCTGGAGAAATTCCATTTTCCTTTCACTGTATTTTTTCATTAACTTTTTGAAGCCTCCTCGTAGATATTTTTACCATGAATTTTCCTTGATTCTACTTTTAGCAGCAGGGTCCTGGTAGTCCTGTAGGATAAACACTGGACTGTTAACCTCAAGGTGGTTGTTTAAACCACCAGCCGCTCCTAAGAAATCGTATACAGGATTGCTATGAGTTGGAACTAACTTGACAGTACGTAACAACAACAATTTTAACTGAGTGGAAGCAGTGTTTCCTATGTTCAAGTCCATCTCTGTAGTCAAACTAACTTCGCAGTAAAACACACAGATTGTCTGGTATTATTAAAAGAGTAGGTAAGGATTCGATTTATATATATATATATATACATAATCTTACCCATTCTTGAGGGCAGTTTTCTGAAAAAACATCTAATATTAGTTTCATTTTTACATTTTGTAGGAAGAATTTATCCCAGCATGCTGCTCACATTTTCTCTTTCTTAGGAACCAGCTTCAGACTATTGGGATAGCTGCAGCAAATACCTGGGGTCTGTTTCTCCTTGTGTTGCTGTTGGGGTATGGCTTGGTAGAGATTCCTCGGTCATACTGGAATGGAGCAAAAAAGGGTTATCTACTTATGAAGACTTATTTTAAGGCAGCCAAACTGATGACAGAGAAAGCAGATGCAGAAGAGAATTTAGAAGACATCATGGAGGTGAGCAAGTTGAAACCTTACTGGCAGCACTGAGGAAATTACATGTCATCCTCTTTCAGTCCTTTAGATTGACACTTGGCAGTATAAAATCCTGCAGGATGGCTCATCCAGGATAACTTCCTGTTGGCAGTTGAGCCTCACGAGGTTATCATCTTCCTCTTCCAAGTGACAGAGGTTCAGTGAGTATATAATAAGCAGTGAGGGTTATGCTTGCTATCTTGGGTAACTTTTAATAGTGCCCACATTGTTTCTCAACAGTATCATAAATGATTCTTGTGTGCCATCTAGTCCATTTGACTCATAGCTTCCCAGTATGACAAGTAGCACTTCCCCATAGGGTTTCTTAGGCCATAATCTTTACAGGAGCACATTACCAGATCTCTTTTCCCATGAAGCTTCCAATAGGTTCAAACACTAACCTTTCGGATTTCAGTGAGTGCTAGCCCAGTATACCACGAGGGCTTCTTATCCTAGATTAGATAAGTTACATGGTTACCTGTTCACATAGAGGAAGCCTGGTGTGGCACTGTAGGGTGAGCAGTAGACTGCCAACCACAAGGCCGGTAGTTCAAGCCCACGAGCTGCTTCTATACAGGGTTGCTCTGAGTTATAGCTGACTTGATGGCACTTAACAATAACAGTAACAACCCACATAGAGTAGAAAATGCATTTCTTCCTGAAACTTTAAGCCAAAGAAAACTCACTAAGTTTGGAAACTTCTTTAGAGAATAATTTACATTGGCAATTTATAAAGTTTTGTTTTTGCTCTGTTATCCTAATAAGGTACTTTATTTTACTTACTTGTAAAATGCAAATGATTTGAAAGAACTTCACAATGTTGTTCAAAAGATACATTTCCAATAATGTACCTAAAAATTTAGAATAAATTATAAAATGCTGTGATGTTAAATAATGTGGTTATGAATTTAAAAAGATATTGTTATAGGCACTTTATATTTTTGCTACTATGTGAGAATATGGTATTCTGATCTTATTACTCGCAAGCTTAAAACATCATGTCACAGATTTTTCATTCCTGTTAGAATAATCTCCAAACTGTCTTAAGGTGTTGTTCTTGTTGTTAAGTGCCGTCAAGTCGATTCCGACCCATAGTGACCCTGTATAGGGTTTCCAAGGAGTAGATGGTGAGGTTGAACTGCTGACCTTGCAGTTGTAAATCGACTCTGACCTATAGCGACCCTGTATAGGGTTTCTGAGGAGCAGCTGGGGAGCTTGAACCTCCGACCTTGCAGTTTAAATGGAATTGCAATCTGGTGCATTAACCCAAAGCATCACACCAAAAAATTGTTGTTGTCAAGTACCATCGAGCCGGTTCTGACCCATAGCAACCCTGTATAGGACTTTTGGGGAGCAACTGCTGAGTTTGAACCACCAACCCTGTGGTTCAAAGCGACTATGCAGTCCAGCACATTAACCCATAGCACCATACCTTGTTTATCTCGCCAACCTTAGTCTAAGTCTCTGTCTTCCTCACATTTGTCAATTTTGGTTGCTCAAATTAGCTAATGATGGTGAAATAGTAGTGTTAGACACATACTCTTTGCCTAAGATTAAATTTTGGTTCTTCAGACTTACTAGTGGTGATGATAATAGCAAACAAGTATATAGATTTACTATCTGCCTAAGACTCTGTAAAGAGGCTGGAGTCCTGGTGTAGCACTGTGGGTTAATGTGCTGAACTGCAAAGTCAGTTTGAACCACAAGGTCAGTGGTTCAAGTTCACCAGTTGCTTCTTGGAAACCTTATGCAGGGTCACTATGGGAACCGACTCTACGACACTTAACAACAACAATCTAAAGAGGGAGAGTAGAAATAGACTACTGCAGAATGTTTAGCCACTGAAAACCTTATGAATAACAGTGGAACACTGTCAGATAGCACCAGGATATTGAATATTGAAATATGATGAATAGCACCAAAATATTTTCAGATATATTGCCAAAAGATGAGCCCCTCAGATTGGAAAACACTCAAAATACAAGTGAGGAAGAACTGCCTCCTCAAAGTAAAATTGACCGTGATGACACAAATGGAGTAAAGATTTTTGGACCTGCATTTACTGATGGGACACAACTAAGCATGAGAAGAAACAGCTGTAAACATCCATTAGTAATTGGAACTTGGAATGTACAAAGTATGAATCTAGTAAAATTGGAAGTTGTCAAAAACAATGTAAACATCAACATCCTAGGCATTAGTGAGCTGAAATGGACTAGTACTGGCCATTTTGAATCTGATAATCACATAATTTACTATGTCGGGAATGACAGATTGAAGAGAAATGTCATCATAGTCATCATTAAAAAGAATATTTCAAGGTCAAGCTTGTAATACAATTCTGTCTGTGATAGTATGATATCCATACACCTAAAAGGAAAACCAGATAATACACTGTTAATTCACATTTATGCACCAACCACTAAAGTCAGTGATGATAAAATTATAGAAATCTACTGACTTCTTTAATATAAAATTGATCCAATAATGCAATCAAGATATACTGATAATTACTGCTGATTCAGATGCAAAGGGTGGAAACAAAGAGGAAGAATCAGTGGTTGGGAAATATTGCCTTGGTGATAGAAGTGGTCAAGATCATGTAGTGGTCCAGAATTGGTCAGTCAAAATAAGGCCAGGGCAAACTGTGGAACAGACCACCGATTGATCATTTGCATGTTCAGGCTAAAGCTGAAGAAAATAAAAACAAGTCTACAAGAAGCAAAACCTTGAAAATATCCCACCGGAATTTAGAGATCACCTCAAGAAAAGATTTAATGCATTTGACACTAATGACTGAAGACCAGAAGAGTTTTAGGATGATGTCAAGAACGTCTTATAAGAAGAAAGCAAAAGGCTTCGAGAAAGCAAGCATGCAAGTAAAGGCCAAAATAAATGTCAGAAGAGACTCTGAAACTTGCTATCCCATGTAGAGATGCTAAAGTAAATGAAAGAAATGAGGAGGTAAAAGAGTTGAACAGAAAATTTCAAAGGGCAGCTCAAGAACACAGCTCAAGAAAACAAAGTCAAATATTATGGTGAAATGTGCAAAGATCTGGAATGAGAAAACCGAAAGGGGCAAGAACACACACTTCTCAAACTGAAGGTAACTGAGGGAAAAATTCAAGCCTTGTCTTGAAATACATAAAGATTCTTTGGGCGAATATATTGAAAGACACAGAAAGCATCAAAAGAAGGATGAAGGAATACATAGTCACTCTATGAAATGAAAATGGTCGATGTTCAACCATTTCAAGAGGTAGCATGTCATCAAGAGCCAATGATCAGATAGCACCAAAATATGTACTGGCAAAGAACAAGACTCTGGGAATTGATGGGAATACAAATTTAAATCTTTCTGCAAATGGATGTAGCACCAGAGGCACTCACTCAACTATGCCAAGAAATTTGGAAGACAGCTACCTGGTCAACTGATTGGAAGAGATTCATATTTGCGCCTATCCAAAGAGAGGTGACCCAACAGAATGCGGAAATCATCGGACAATATCATTAATGTAATAATACCAAGTGAAATTTTGCTTAGGATCATTCAAAAACGGCTGCAACTGTACATTGACAGGTAACTGCCAGAGGATCAAGCCAGATTCAGACATGGCATGGAGAGGAACATCATTGCTCACATCAGATGGGTCATGGCTTAAAGCAGAGAACACCATAAAGATATTACCGGTGCTTTATTGACTATTCAAAGGTTTTTGACTCTGTGGATCAAAACAAACTATGGATTACATTGCAGAGAAAGAATATTCCAGAACACTTAATAGTGCTCCTGAGGAACCTATACATTGACCAAGAACAATTGTACACTGAACAAAAGGACACTGAATGCTTTAAAATCAAAAAAGGCATGTGCCAAGATTGTTTTCTTTCACCCTACTTAGTCTGTATATGCAGATGACGAAACCTTGCTTGCTGAACGTGAAGAGGACTTAAAATATTTACTGATGAAGATCAAAGAACACAGCCTTTGAATGGGTTATACCTCTATGCAAATAAAACAAAAATCCATACAAATGGACCAATCAATAATATCAAGATAAATGGAGAAAAAAATTGAAGTTGTCGAAGACTTCATTTTGCTTGGATCATCAATCATCAATACTTATGGCAGCAACAGTCAAGAAGTCAAATGACATATTTATTGCATTATTCAGATGTGCTCTGAAGTGTTCAAGAGCAACGATGCCAGTTTGAGGTCTAAGGTGGGCCTGACCCCAGCCATGGTATTTTCAGTAGCCTCATATGCATGTGAATATTGAACGGTGAACAAGGAAGATCATAGAAGAATTGATAATTGTGAGATATGGTATTGGAGAAGAATATTGAAAGTCCCATGGACTTCTAGAAGAACACATAAATCTGTGTTGGAGGAAATACAACCAGAATGCTTCTTGGAAACCAGGATAGTGAGACTTTGTTTCTCATACTTTGGACATATTGTTAGGAGGGACCAGTCCCTGGGGAAGGACATCATACTAGGTAAAGTGGAGCATCAGTGAAAAAGTCAAAACCCCTCAACATGATAGATTGGCACAGTGGCAGCTACAATGGGCTGAAGCTTAACAATAAATGATTGTGAAGATATGATAGGACCAGGCAGTATGTAGGGTCACTATGATTTGGAATGACTCAATGGCACCAAACAACAATGACATCTAAACATTTTGCCTGTATTGGTACACTTAATTCTTACAAACTTATAAGACAAATTTTTAAATTTCCATTTTAAAAGTGATGAAAAGAAGTCACAGAGACAGTAAGTAATTTGTCACAAAACTAGTAGGCCATAGAACCAGGCAGTCTGGCTCCAGAGTTCATTCTTTTAGCCAGGGGTTGAAAATTTGTTAGCTATTGTGGTTACATTCCATCGAGTTGCTGGTGGATTTGAACCGCCAACCCGGGGAACCAGTCCAGTTCTTATCCTACAGCACCACACCAGAACTCCATTTTGTCTGTAAAGA